ATACTATACAAAAATATACTGTGTCTCCGCCTGTTGTTTGTCATTCTTGTAAGCACTTCCAAGTTCTACATATTGTAGATATTCATCATACCACTCACTGTATCAGAGTCATTCCCTTACCTTCAGTTTCAAAAGCTTCCACTATCAAGCCACAGATAGGGAGATAATCATCTCCCATATGATTCTCATAGTCAATCATCTAGCTTCTTCCCTGCTTCAGCACCCAATGTCCCCAGCCCGGCTCTGAGCCTTCTCATGCTTTTAGTCCCAGTTGGTGTGCTTCAAACCTCTCCTCTCCCTCTGGAATCCCCTTGGGATCACCCCCCTCTCACTTTTCATCATCCCCTGTTGCTCTTCTTTTCTCTCCTCTCTTCTTCAGTCAGAGAGAACTGAGGCCCCGCATGAATAAGTGTCTCCCAAGGAAAATATATTTTTGGCTCTGACTAGGAAATCGTTTTTCAGCATGAATAACAGAGCTCTCCATCATTTTACTTTTGTCAATTTTTAAGCAATAGCTTAAGCAGCAGTAGCCAGGAAAATAAGCTCTGGCCCACGTATCCCAGACTAAAGGAAATCAGACAGCAGGCCCAAAAGCAAGAGCATAAACTCTCCACTTCCGGTGTTTTCCCTTTCCATTTGGTTTCCATGGGGCCCTGTGTTGGGGGTAGGCAGGGCTTGCAAAAGAACTGACTTGTATTCTTTAGCAAAATAAGGAACTGAATTTCAGAAATGGGTGAGGGAACAGTGCATAAGAATTTGGATGCCTAATTTTTTCAGAAAGCTAACTCCGAGACAAATTTTGAAAGCCCCCTGTTGACTGCCATTTCTACCTAAGTGCTCTTTAATCGGCTATCAAAATCCAGAAGAGGTTACGCCTTTGGAACTTGTAAATAATTTCCATCCAACTCACAACCCAGAATTGCAATGCATTATTTTAGGGACTGGAATTGAGAAACTCCTCTCCCTTAGCTTTTAAATGGTCCTGTGACTCAGCAAGCCAGCAGGCGTCTCTTAGTCGTCCATATTTTCTGGGATTTGATACTGGGATCTATGATTGAAATTCACTAAGAGCAAACAACTAAGAGCTAGAAATGAGCATGGCGAGTCAGAACTCCTAAAGTGCTAAGCTTTGATGAGGAACTGAGTCTGTTAGACTAAATAAAGTTGGAAAGAAGGTAAAATTTGTCTTTGCAGGACCAGTTAGCTAGTTGTCAACAAGTTACGGATTTGGGGGGTATTTATGCTAGCCCTAAAATACCTTCAAGAGTAGTTGCATTTTTATAAAAGCTTCTTGGAGCTGGAATGCATCTCCAATGATGGGTTGTTAAGCATGGTGACATGTAGTGGGGAGAAGAGGTGGTGATGGAGGGAGAGCTACAGGAGCATGCTTCAATACCTTCAAGAGTAGTTGCATTTTTATAAAAGCTTCTTGGAGCTGGAATGCATCTCCAATGGTGGGTTGTTAAGCATGGTGACATGTAGTGGGGAGAAGAGGTGGTGATGGAGGGAGAGCTACAGGAGCATGCTTCCCCTCCCCCACAGCATCACAACATGCTGTAACAAAAGGAAAACATTAAGCATCTAAAACATTCACTCATTCATTCATTCCTTCAAAAGACATTTGATTGAGTTCCCCCTGTGTGCTAGGTACTATCCAAGTGCTAGAAAATTGCTCTGAACAAAAAACATTAAGCATCTAAAACATTCACTCATTCATTCATTCCTTCAAAAGACATTTGATTGAATTCCCCCTGTGTGCTAGGTACTATCCAAGTGCTAGAAAATTGCTCTGAACAGAACTGATAAAAATCTCTGCCCTCATGGAGCCTACAAATTCTGGAAATAATAATAATATAACATATTAACATATGAAGTAAACTAAGCAAGTAGTAAAAAAATGTTATGGATCTGTTTTTCCTGATAGTATAAAAAAATTTAAAGACAAGATAGGCACTAATAAGAATATAATCTCATGGATAAATCTACTATCACCAGGTCATTTTGAAGTGGAGACATCCCTTCCATAAATAAAAAGTTGTTCATTAACTTTGTGAGTAACCCAAATTGGGCTGAGAACTGGTATATTAATACAATCCGAAAGGAGCAGGATGTGGGCTTTTAACAAGCAGAATGAGATGGACAAGAGTGGGGCCGAGATGGAGGCTGGGCTCACACACCAGAGCTGCCTGTGAGTCCTGCCCATGTGCCTCTCTCCACGGGCCCTTGGTCTCATGCTTCGTGTGGCAGTCATGAAGTTTCTGGAGGCATCTGCACCTGACCCTGCCTCTTTGCCTGTGGGCACAATCAGCCACCTCACCTTGGCCTCCCTGAGCAGGCACCTAGGAAGCTAGCTGCCAGGATTATAGCCATGATACCAATGTCCATTCACCTGCAGTCACCACAGTCAGAGAACTCCAATTCCAGAAAACCTTCTCCATGATAGTAGGAGGAAAACTGATGTCATGGTCCTGGTGATAAGACCTTGCCACTGCAGGGTCCCTAAGTGCCTTTTAAATCACCAAGACTATCAAATATTTCCAGTGTAATTTCCCTATAATGTGTACTTTGTTAAATTTTAAGACTCTGAAAATTGGTGATTTGTGTATAATACGTTATGCCACTGGCCCCAAATTTCTTAGCAGGACCTTCAAGATTCTGTACATAATGATCCCAAACTACCTTCCTGGGCTTATCTCCTCTGTGCACTCCATGTCCTTTCTGCTCCTACTGCCCAGGCCCCTGCACACCTCAGGGAAGACCAAGTGGGGTATTCAGCTGATTGTAACTTCTCCCAGGACTTACTGCCAGAACAGTGCCATGGGCACTGAAAAACTTTAGCATGGCTCTTTCCACCCAACAGTCAGTTCAGACTATCAACTCTATAAAGAAAGCAGAGCCTGAGAGAGAAAAGACCATGAGCCCTTCCCTTTCATTCAGCTGTTTGAGCAACGCTGCACTCCCAAACTCCCTCCCCTGCTGCTGCATGGTTGGTAGAAGCCTTGTCATCACTTGCCCTGTGGGAGGCAATTTGGGGATCTCATAGGCAGACTCCAATGTGGTCTCTGCAGAGCTTTTCTCTTCCCTAACTCTATTCCAGAGAGACTCATGTCCTCTACCCTCTGTTGTGACTTTGTCATGCATTGTTAGAATTGGGCACAGACCAAGAATGGAGGTGAGGTACAGAATGGGTCCCTTGGCTCCTGGTGGGGTCTGCTGGTGAAAAGTGCCCCTTGTTAATGTCTTTCATGTATCAGGGCTCATCTTTCTGAGTCTCACACAAACTGGTTCTCAGGCTCACCTAATTCTGGAGTGTGCAGGGCAGATGTGGAGCTAGAACTGAGCCATGCCCATTTGCTTCTGATTGGAAGAGGGTGGGGTGCCTCTGTGTGCCTCACCATTCAGACATTCTTCATGGTGCTATTTTTATCAACAGCAATCATTAAATTGGTGTCAGATGGTCTGGTGCAGTTCCTCACCCTGAGGATGGGTGATGGGACTCAGAGGGTTTTTTCTGGGTAAGAGATGTCTGTGGCCCATGTGAATGCATCTCAGAACCCTGAGCCACAGAGTGAGCCTCACTAGCACTGAACCCTGTTCCTGTGACAATAAAAGCAGGTTTCATCACCATTCCACTGAACCCTGTTCCTATGACAATAAAAGCAGGGATCATCACAATTTCCCCTTCATTCTTGACCTGATTCATTTAACAGACATATGTTGAGCATCTTCTAAATGCCAGACGTTGAGCAAGACACTAGGGATTCACAAAAAACATTATCTCTACCTGCCGAGAAACCTGCATTTCACCAGAAAGGATCTGTCATGTGAAGTGACAGTGTCTACTGGGCTGTGCATGTTACAGGGTGTATTGACAAGGAATGTTATGGAGGAAGGATTTGTTCTGCCTGGGCTTTGGGGAAAGCTTCATGGAGGTGAAAACATTCAGCTTCAAAGATAAATAGAATAACTGGAAGCAAACATGGGAAAAAGCCTCTCAGGCAAAGGAAACAAGGGCAGAAGCATTAAAACTTTGGGGAAAGCTTCATGGAGGTGAAAACATTCAGCTTCAAAGATAAATAGAATAACTGGATGCAAACATGGGAAAAAGCCTCTCAGGCAAAGGAAACAAGGGCAGAAGCATTGAAAAAAAAAAAAGACTGTAGATTCATCCAAAATCCAGCTGTGAATTCAGCTCTCTCTCACTGAGGGGCTCCCAGGCACACACAGGCACTAACCTTCACCCCGGAAGGTTGCAAGGAGGAGGGCCTGGTACAGGAATGCTGTCTAGTTACTCCAAGGGCCCTGGCTGCTCTGCCTCTGAGTCCCAGAATTGGAACTCTGAACGGGGCCCAACAGTGAGGGTTGGTTGTTAGCAGTAATGGTGCCCCAGGATATTGAAGTTAGACATAAATTAGGAACCCATGCCATGGTCTGCTCATGGCTTTTGCGACTGAGAACCTAACTCGTGAGTAAGAACCAAGGCCCCTCACTAGCCACAGGAAACAAGGATGAATCATAACATGAAGACAGAGCAGAGTTTCCTAGATTTTATATATTTCAGTCCAGATTATAATTCTTTTAACTAAATGCCTGGAAATTCAGGGTGAAATTTAACAGAAAACCAAAATGGGGCATAACAGGAAAACAGGGAGAAATGTGGCACTGACAATGGCAGAAAGTGCATTCGCAGATGTTCTCGGCAATCCAGGGCTTGGTGCTCTGGTTTTCATTTCCTCTGACCAAACATCTCAAACCCCACCCCCCGCAAGTCACAAGGATGTGCAGGCACAGCCCTGTGGGGTGCAGTGGGTGTCGCTGGAAGGTCCTCCTCGGTGGCTTAGCGGCCAGCTGGAAGAGCCTGGGGCCACCTGTCTGGTCAGAGCCTCTCTGCTGTGGGCCTCTTGGAGCCAGGGCTGGCTTTGTGGTCTGACTAAAGTGACAATGAAATTAATAGGATCCTGATGCTGTGACTGAGGCCATTCGCCTGTGTCTCCAAACAGGGATGAGAGAGGAAATGTCATTAGGACGCCAGGAGGCTTTTGAAATCTTCAAGAGGGACCATGCTGACAGCGTTACCATCGATGACAACAAACAGATTCTGAAACAGAGGTAAGGCTGACTCAGAGCGCAGCTGGTCCTCCAAGGCTCAGCCAGGCCAGCCTAGAGGAAACATCCTACTCTGTCCTTCCTAATCTCCCCAACCAAACGTTTACAAGAAGGGCATGACATTTATCCAGTTTCATATTTAATTATGCACAGCCTGGTATGATTCTCTTCCATGTACGTGAGCCTCATCATCCCAGTACTATTGGAGTAAGCAGCATTAGGATGGGTCTGTTACTGACAACATGAACTTGACATACAATTCTCACATCATACATGAATCCTCATCAGCCTATGACTCTATCAATGTCTTACTGTTCCAAAGTCAGGGAAACAAATCTATGCACCAAATTATATTCTTCGAACTCCAGACCCTCCAGCTATTCTGGAGAGCCGTCCAGCACTTCTTAGTCCAAGGAAATATATGCACATATTGTGACCCCCGAGGCCTTTGGTGTGTTCTCCAGGCCAAAATCAGAGCAGGCAGAATCATCTGCTGACATGTGTCAAACAAGGCTCTGTTCTGGACCCCATTAGAAAAAACTTCGAGAGGTATAATTTGTTTCAGCTATTCTGTGAATTAGACTCATGTCCTCAAACTATAACAAACAGAAAGATTGCCAGATATATGGATCTAGAGCTCAGAAGAAAGAGTTCTAGACTGTGAACTCTCATATGTCAAATGTGACTCTGGATCTTAGCACACAGTAAGTTTTCAAAACTGTTTGTAATGAAAATGAGATCCAGGTTTGAGAGTCATAGGCTTGCAAATGACAATTCAAGGAAGCCTAAGAAGTGGATGAGTCTCAGGAAAACATGGGGGAGTGCAGAGACCTAGAGGGTAAAGCCATAGGGGGGAAACTTTGAAGGAAAGGTGGAGGGATAGGAGGCCATGATGGAGCCTGAGGAGAAGCAGAGAGAGCAGAAGGGGGAGAACCAGGAGAAAATAATGTCCTGAGAGCCAAGGGGAGAGGCAACTCCAGGAAGCAGAGTGTCAGCAGTGCCAGACACTACAAAGAAACAAGAGAAGGAGCTGGGGAGTGCACAGAGTTGTGGCAATAGAAGCCCACCGGACGGCGTGAGGAGCAAGTGAGAAGAAATTGGGGTTGCACAGCGGGAGTGCAAACAACGCGTTCAACAAGTTAGCGATCGGTGGAAAACAGTTTTAAAAAGAACAAAGGGAGAAGAAAACATTAAGGAGAGGGAAGTTGGCTTCAGAATGGGAAAGAACTGGAGAAGGTTGCAGGCCACGGGAGCAAGCCAGTGGCAGGAGACTGGTCAAGAAACAAGGGGAAAGCGAACACAGCGAGGCTTTGGAAGACAGGTGGGTAGGAAATCAAAAGGTCCCGGAGGTTAGCCCTAGAAGGAAGCATGAATGGGAAGACAAATCCCGGTGGGCTGACACTGGGGGATTTAGAAGTGGAGGGAGAAGATGAAAGATGACCTCTACTTTCTCTGTGAAAACAAAGTTGAGGTTGAGTAAGAGGCTCGAGGATGGTGATGAAGGTTTACTGCAGCTGCACACGGAATGGGAAAGAAGGTACAATGCAGAAGAAGAAAAAGGAAAGACAAGCAGCACTGGGAGTTGGGCCAGCCCAGGCTGTTACAGTGGCTTGTACACTTTAGCAGGAGGAGATCTCAGATCACTTCAGGAAACCAGTGGAGGTGACAGGAATATAGCTGTTTTGGAGAGCAGTCAAGCCCTTCTTAGTCAAAAGAAATATAGGCACCCTCTGTGACCCAGCAATTCCACTTCTGGGGCTATGTCCCGAGAAGATCTCACATGGTTCGTGAGGGGATGTATATCAGGATGCACATGGCAGCACTGACTGTGGTCAAGGAGAATTGGAGACATTCTGGGCGTCCATCCCTGGGGAAGTAGATGAGTAAAACAATGGGAGGCCCCATGAAGTGTGATGCGGCAGGTGGGAGCAATGGATCAGATGTATACAAACGAACGAGGGTGGATCTTGAAAGCATAGCACTAAGAACACATAATTCATGAAAATTACAAATATATGTGCACAAAACAAAAACACGCAAACAAACAGATATACTTTAGAGTTCTTTAACCATAAGAATGGGAGCAGGACACAGTAATAAAAAGAAATGAATGGGTAAATGAATAAAACAGGGGGTTGGGGGATAAAATGGAGTGAATCTAGTAACAGCTAAGGTCTCTCTGGAGTAAAGTGGACATATGCACATCTGCACAAATGTTAGCATGTGAGTCCAAGAGGTTCACAAAACTTCTAATACTTATCCACGCTGTAAGCCGTGTCAAGCCAGATGCCAGCTGCCTCATCCAGCAAGGACTTCCAAACAGCCTTCAGCTGTGTCCATATCTGAGGCATCCTAGCTTACACCAGTGCCTCATAACCATGGCTTCATGTTAAAATGATCCATGGAGCTTTTAAAAGCTACCAAAGCCTGGGCCCAACTCCCCAGATATTCTAATTTAATTAGGTGGGGCATCCCTTTTTAAAAAGTGTATTCCAGTAGCAACAAGGTTTGAAAACTACCAGCTTAGACAGCGTCCAGAGACCTTAAGATCCAGAATCTCTGAGGTAGGATCCCTACAACTCTACAGGTTAAAAAATTTACCAAGTGATTCTTTTGCACACTTAAGTTTTAGAACCACTGACTTAGGGAGAACATAATACTTCATCTTTTTTTTACTCAAAAATTGGCATGGTTCCTGGTTCTGCTTTGTACCGTGAGTTTAGGTCTATTTCCAGCAGGGAGTTGGGTGGGAGGTGGGCAGGGTGAGGATGTTGTGGTCTTTCGAAGCCTAATACAGAGCTCACTTTAATACAGTAGAGTTCTGACAACCCATGTGACAAATGTGCTTTTGGGTTTAAATATACTTAAGTCACACAGGATGGGCTGGGAATACTGCTGATCCCACCTTCCTTGTGACCATTGTGCAAGGAAATTAATGAAACTCGCACAAAGCTTTCCTCTGAAAACAGGTTTTCCCAGCAGTAAATCGGTCTTTTTAAACCAAATTAAGTCAGGAGACCAGCCTACATTTAAAAAAAAGTCTATGTCTGTTTAATGTTACTGTAATATACCAATCATTAAAGGACTATTTGGTACTGAGGGTGGGGGGTATAACCCAGAACCTATCCCTTTCTCAGGATTGGAGCTTTAGTTTGCATTCATAGAGATTATTCAGTTGTTAGATATTACAGACTCATAACTGCTTAAGGCAGGGGACTAACAGCAGGTGTTTTTGTAGGGAAACAACTACACAGTGTTCTGACAGCAGACATCACAATAAGGCCCCACATTGCTCACAGGGGTGACTTCTATGCTGCCCTTGCTTTAGGAAATGTTCTTCCAGTAACACTGACCCCTTCCACACGTTTGCTCACATCTCCCCCAGTGACAGGGAGGACCCGTGTGGATCATGTGTGGGAGGACTGGCCAGTCCTAGGAACACGGACAGGGGCTAGGGGTGTTTGATGAAGGATGGTGTTCAGTTACTGTCTCCTGACTCTCCACTAAGTCTCACCTCTCTAACAGCCCTCAGCAACTGGACCCACCACCTGCCTCCCGTTTGACACCCCACTACTCACATCAAGTAACTCTGTGTCCGGATGTTCTGGTGTTATGACACCCTGTCGGTAAAGTGCCACCAAAGAGGCTGGAGCTCATTGCCCCCACACAAAAGCATTGGCTGAGGTCAGCCTCTCTAGCCCATCCCAAGTAGGTTCTGAGCCGAAATATAGGGATTATGGATGACCCAGGATCCCTTCTGATCACCTCCACTCCTGCAGAGTACAGAATTGATTTAACGTTTCAACAGGGGCCTCAGACACTCTGTGTTGCTTAAGAGGAGGGTTTCTTCCCTCCTGTCTTACCTGCACCCTTTGCTGCCCTCACAGGGAGTCTCTAGCATTGTAAGCTCAGGCCCACAGTCCAGGGAAGTTGTGCCACCTGTCTGTGACAACAGAAATAAGACATTGGCACGTCAATAGGATGTTGGCCCTTTGGTGAACTAGAGCATGTGAGCCAGTTCTTAAGACAGATTTTGCAGTAGAAGACAATTGCAATTCAAAATCACTATATTTCCCAAGCATGGCTCATCCTCATAGTATATAATAATATGGAGAGAGGCTGGAAACCCCATGCTTGGCAAATACCAGTGCCCAGGCACTGCACAGCTAACTTTCTTTTGTGACAGATCTTTCACACAAACTGAATCCCTCAGTCACAGAGTCTCATTAAATAACAAAAGAAGAAATAAACAGGGAGATTTACTGCAGTTGGAAATGAAGGTATTGATAATGTGAGCTAAAACAAGAAAAAGCACTCCTTCACTCGGTTGGATCCTTCCGACGTAGAACAGAACCGCAATCTAAACCAACAGGAAAACTGGACTGAGGGTGGAGAGAAATCTTGTGGCACCATCTGGAAATAACACCCACGACAAATAGGAGTTCCCTGGTTCCTGCTAGACTTCAGTTTTAACTGTTATTATTTTCCATTTGTCTTTTGTATTTACACCTTGTCTGCAGAACTAGAATTTAAAACTCTGAGAGCAGAGAGTAGATTAGAATCTTCTCAGCTTCCCCACAATTTTTTAAAAAGTGCTGGCCACAAAAATGGTACTCAAAAAACGCTTTTTTGAGAATGACAGTTTGAAATGGACTTTGAGAAATCTTAGCAGACACAGAACTGCTTGAGCATACTCGCAGCTTCCTAGAAGTAGGAGAATGCAGCAGCAGTGGGCTTCCTGAGAGACGGGGAGGGAGCTACTCGACTGCAGGTGACAGGAGTGCCTCGATGCGGGAGGGGGAATAGGAAAGGAGCAGTGACTTGAAATAGAAAAGAGCATGAAGGGAATGATGGGTGAAGGGTGGATCTTCATCACAATAAAGTGAAGGCAGCCCAGGTACCACGTACAGATTTATAGAGGAAGGAAATGGCGAGATACAGGCCCAGTCTTCTGTCTTCCTCTCCAATGGGGAAGAATCTTGGATGTTCACTCAATGAAAAAT